ATTTTTTTTTTTTTTTTGCCGCTTGTCGCCATCGAGCCGCCGCCGAGAGTGCGTGCGCGTGTCCGGTTTTCGTTTGCCGTGGTGCCGCGACGGGTTCTCTACTACAGTCTCTCCGCCCGAGGATAGTGTCGTCCGCGTGACCGCCGCCGAATCCCGAGCCGTGGTCTTCCGTGCGCCGCGCGCTCTCGCCGCCGTCGCCGTCGTCGTCTTGCAGCCCACTGTGTATGCGTACGTGTGATGCGTGTCCGCCGATTTGCCACCGGAGCCGTCGTTGTAGCCGCCAGCAACAGAAGCAGCAACAGCGAAAAGAGCAACAATAGCAGCGGCCACCGCCACCACCGCCGTCGTAGTAACGTCGTAGCGTCGTCGTCGTAGCGATGGCGTCATGCAAACGGCCGTGCTGCAGCCGCGGCGCTGGCGTGTCCAACAAGAGGCCGTGCTGCAGGGACGGCGGCGCGGACGGCGCGTCGTCGTCGTCGGCGGCCGGCGGGTCGGCGGTGCTCCGGTCGCCCGACTCGCTGTTGGACATCACCGCCCGGATAGTGGCCGAGAACATACCGTTCCAACGGATCGAGGAACGGTACAATCGCATACCGGAACCGGTGCAGCGGCAGATCATCTACTGGTCGTTTCCGCGCAACGAGCGCGACATATTCATGTACTCGTCGCTGATACGCGTGTCGCAAGCCAGCTCTTCGTCACAAAACTCGGAACAGAGCAACCTGTCGTTCTACAAAGGGCTCAAGCTCCTGGAGACCGGTTGCGTGGACCGGGTGCTTCAAGTCGGTGAGTACACAAATTCTGCAAAGATCCATTTGATAATACGTACCTATATTGTCTAAGCTATCGTATATCGATAGATAAATCAATTTCGGCGATCCGAACGTACGATATCGAGCGCGTCACGGTGACCGTCTCACACAAATCACCTGCACGGTGGTCGCAGCTGATAGACCGCCCCCGCGTCGTCGGCGTATCGTATAGTTAAACTCCACGTCGACGGGGGCGGAAAAACAGACACGGGCGTCCGATCACGGTCGTCCGTAGTAAAAAAAAAAAAAATCACCAATGTGTAACTCGATCGTTTTGTATTTTTTTTGCGAGGGGTGCGTATATTATACTAGTTGTAGTAATAATATAACGACTATAGGAGTAGTAGGATCGACGAGGTGGTTGGTCGACGACGGCTGCGGTGCGCGGGTTAAACGGTCGCCGCGAGAGGGAGGCAGCGCGTGTGTGTGTGTGTTGTGGTGCGTCGTCGTATAATATACACATACATATTATATATGTAGATATCGTATTATACGTGTGGGGGATACACACGCACCCGCGTCATATTGATCTAATAGCCGACGGAATTATGTAAAATGCATGCGGGGCACGTCCGGGGAAATTCAACCCCGTCGAGGAAGAGGAGGACCTCATTTCAAATTCTTATTAGGTTCGCGCGCCCTCTCTCTATCTTCCTCTTATTTTATGTCTATCTCTCTCTCTCTCTTCCGTTTGTCCATCGTCGCCGCACCGTGCGTTTATGCGATAATATTAATAATAATAATTGCGTGCAGTCACAGCAACGAGCGACGAAAAATCGGTGAACGGCGAACGCGTTAGCGCGATAGCCGTGACGTGTGCTCGCTTGTCACTGTCGCGCGTGTATTTATTCGTCACGATGATAATATAATAATACGATCGTCGTCGACGGGAAGCGCGGCCACCGTCGCCGCGACCACACTACCGCCACCGCTTCCACCACTACCAGGTGTTCCGGCGGATATGCATTATTCAAAAGCGCGTTACTATCGGTAGAGGGGGTAGGCCAAGAGGGAAACGTCGATACACATAGGCGCGCGCGGTAATTATTATTATCGAGCCTCTTCCCGTCCGCTGTTGCGGATCCCCCCGATTACTCATGCACTCCTCTATTCGCCCGAGAATACGAATTAAAATAAATTACAATAACTAATATAAAAATATTTTTCGTTTTTAAATATTTATACAAGTACGTCGTTAATTCTGTGAGCCGACCGTCAACTGTATATTCATGAAAATGCTAATTTGTAAATTTTTATCTATTATTATTATTATTACTATCGTCGTCATTGTAATGATTCTGCTACAGTAGTCTGCGCCGCGTTTCACACGCACGCACACGTCACACGCCGCTCCGGACACAAATGTGACGTGTGTGTAAAAAGTATGCATTATTTATTATCATACAATATCATTTCCTATAAAACATATGCCGAATCGGAAAAATATCTCGACGACTACCGAGAGGGACAAGCAACAATCTTATAAAAAATCGTAATATTGTTTGGAAGTCGGCCAAAAGCGCGTGGAAAAATTTCGCAGGATCACCGCAGGTTGAGTATAACCGGCACGGTTGGGACGTAACGAAGCGAACCGCGTGGTCGACGGCGAAGGTCGCTGCCGCCTCGGGCTGCGAACGGATTTCAGGAATTTCCGGTATGCATTATGAAGATTTCTTGATCGCCTCCGTAGCCTATCACATATGTTTCCCATTTGACTCCGCACCGATCTGATTGTCTTTACGGAAGCCGTCTCGATAAATTCGTAGGTTTTTTCAATGCCCTTTCTTGTAAATTCTTGTAATATTATTATATGTTAAATTAAAATGTATTAGGTACATTGTTAATAATCATAAAATGATTATTTTTTAATAATATGTAATGATAATAATAATTTGTTAGGTTACACATAAGTGTTCAGATATACATATTTTAATCGACCGCAGTCCATCTTCAATGATTTTTTTCAATTAGTTAACTCTATTCACGACCAATTGGCAAAACTCTTGTCCCGTCGTTTACTTAGTCAAGAATTGAGGTTGTTGACAAAGGGGGGAGCGGTAGAGGGAGCGTCACATACTTGAATAACGCGATAAAAGGAAGGCCTTGGCTGACCGTCATCGTGTTTGTGTACCAGCATCATATTATAAAGTAGAATGATCACGTATGTGAACCCGTATATACACAACAAAATGCGTTTTATATTCTCTTGTACTATAATAAACAGTCAGAATCGTTGCTCTTATCCTGCGGGATTGACAATATTAAAACCAATGAATTAGCGAAAAAGTCTAGGGAAGCGTAATAAATGTACAATGAAAAAATTCGACGTTTTCGCCATTTCATCATTATAATTATTACACCCTCGTCAATTTTTAAATTTCTGAACATATCAAACCCGTGGCTGAGCTACTGCTTCTGATACATAACGACTGGACGTGTATAGTTTTTATTACGATTAATATTAGACCTTTTTTTTCGCCCTCCTCGGCTAAACCTGAACAAATATTTTTTCCTGGGCGTATAGTCTCTTTTACAGCACAGCACTCCACCACTTCCACCGCCGCTTTGCCACTAGAGGGTTCTCCTTTTATTATCTTTGTCCAAAAACAAACAATTGGCGTCATCGCGCTTCGAATATAACAATAGTTACGCATACATATATATATTTATAAAATATATACTCACGTGGGTATTGTATATGCCGCCGTTGCCTCGACAAACAAAAGTTTGAATTATCATTATTATTATTATTTCGATATGCGTTCTACAACGTAACTACAGTTAGTATGTTCATATCATTCGTGTGTATTGATCCAGATTGCAAGTCGCAACATCAATAATAAAATAAAATATAATGTATTATAATATATTATAAAATAATCGCGAAAATTGAACAGCTGTGTGTCGCCGATAACCGACTCCGTATGGGATATCGCCCAGGTCGTCGGCATTTAAAAAAGAATGATACTACAATATAATAGTGATAGACTACTAAACAATAATAATTAACGAGATAAACAGTGCACGGCGGTGGCCATTACGTTGTTCTGCAATGTCTTGACAACGTGATTTTGTGATTTTGACACTTACCACTATACCGGACCATCAAGTTTGTACGAATGTAATTATATTTATTTTTACTCGTGAATTCGACACGTGCGAATTTTTTTTTCTTGCATGATTAGGTATATTTATTTTCTCGATTAATGTTGTACGTTCAGAATAATTTTGCAATTTATATTTTATTTTATTTTCAAATTGGCCTAATTATTTTTTACTCGACTTTACAATGTTATGTTCATCGCGCAATACACCAGTATAGTTACTATTTATTTCAGCTTAAGTAGTAGTCGAAAAAAACAATTTCTTGCTTCGTCGACAACCCTTTCTGTATTCTAAAGAGGTTAGATTTCAAAAAAAAAAAAATTATTAATTTATCATCTTTGCACATCCCGCAAAACGTGTTTTTTTCATTTTTTGTTCGTAAACAAGATGGCGTCGTTTCGAACAAAGAATCAGTTTTGTGTTTCTCAAAAAGGGATTTCATACGTGCTACAGCAGCAGCTGAACGAAAGAATAAAATACGGCCAGTATAATATTATGTGTGTTGTATAGGAAGTCTATTATATGACTAAAATACGAAACCTTACAATATATTGTTTCTTATAATACACGCGACAGGGTGGTGTTGAATAACTCGCGCCGGGCGCATTATTATTGTTTTGGAGGCGGTATAGGTGTAGCACTAATAGCACAATATACCAACTACGTGTATAGAACAGGATGTGTATACTGTATACCATATTAAAATTAAATAAAACGTATCCTTGTGCTGTGATCGATACTTATAAACAGAGACATTGTGGTCCACACGTAAATCGATTTATCGTCACTCTTCGATGCTGCAGGCAGTTCAACAATATGGTGTGTAGTATTCTAATGGCGGACAATTTATCGTCATCCATTCCTTGGCACTCGTACATAATAATATATTATTTTTAATATACATTCTTTGCTATAGTTTCCGAATAATATGAAATTGTTGTTATGTGTAGTGCTTCGATAGTGATGGTATAAAATGACGAAGATTTTAGCAGTCGCGCCATGTGCAATGTGTGCATATAGAGAGAGATGAGTTGAATTGAGCGAGAGAGGTAAAATCCGAACAAATCAAACGCGTTGCCAGGGCCAATATTCGCGCAGCAAACGTCTTTTTCTCACTCTTCCTCCATATGTACGCCACTGCTTACTACACAATTGTCCGTCCCTATCGTCACTACCCCACGCGACGACGAACCCCATTGTTTTCTCTCCATGGCCAACACCCTCGTCGTCGACAATCGTGTGGGGGCTGCTGCCGAAGATGCCGATTTTAGCGGCGTCGCGTGTGAAATATTTGTTATTTATTTTACCGAGGGTGCCGACCGACAGTCTTTACCTCACAAAAATCGTTTTTACGTATATTTCTTTTCCCCCAAAATTTGGTAGGTATACTCACGACGACGTCTATATAAACCGGCTGTTGTACGAGTGAGAGGGAGGGGATGAAGAGAGAGAGAGATAGGAGAAAGAAAGAAAGAAAGAAATAGAAAAAAAACAATTTCTTTCGGAGACGACCCTCGGTCCTCCGCTCGTCATCGTCATTAACCACATGGGTTCAAAAATGCGGTTTTGGCAGATGCAGGATAACGCACAGTCGCCAGGGTCGGCGGCGACGATCATGCATAACAGTCGTTGCTGGTTATAGTTCGAACTTGCTAGTTTCCGAAGAAACGAGTGATATATATATACATTTTCTAAGCACTGCCGGACATTATCTAACCGAGAAATCTATACTGGCGTCCGCCACCGAGCAGTGCGGTCTCGACGGGTTTCAAGCGGTTTCGGAGCGGCAGCTGACTGCAGTATTAAGCACGCACACACACCTGGCCCTCGTTCTTTCTCAGGGGTGCTCAAAATCGCGGATAAACAATT